ATAAATTGATAAAAAATGGCAAACAATTGCTACGTTTTGACGATACAGCGTAGATAACCATGTAAAATGTTTAATTCACCACACTGAATATTTGCAATAGGAGCATATGTTTTTGCATGCACAAACATCAGATTGTGAATTCAAACATGTGACGGTGAAGTCCCGTGTAATTATGACAAAAGTAGGTTCTTGGTTGAAGGAATGTTTACGTAGTAGTTGGAGAAAAATAACTTTTTCGTCGAAATCTTGCAGTAGAAAAATGTAATTTTGATTTTTGTCGCGGCAGCCGCATTGTGATGAACAAGGCCCAAGTGCTGTGTGATGAGAAGCATGTTAACTTGAGCTTCTTGGTACACATTTAAAGTAAAAAAAAACTGCGTGAAAAACGAAAGACGATACAGACGAAACACTATTTTGCGATTGGGAGTGCACATTACAGAACACTACATAGTCGAAATTTCTGGAGCCTTTTATACGGTGTGCCTCATATTCATATCATGGTTTCAGCGCATAAAACCACAGATATTTTCATTGATAACAAGGGTGGTTCTCGCTCGGGGTGAGGAGAACGGAACATGTAGGTCTATAGAGATTAAAGGCGCTACTGACTTAACTAAAAAACAGCGATGTAGAGATGCATTCATATCTAAACGGCCACAAACAGAATCGGACAGCACTTTACCCAAAGGAAAGCAGTATTGAAGACATATGTGAAAAACGAAAGCTATGCATTTTGACTTCGAGGTAGCATGTTACTGCACTAGTTTCGAAAGCTTGGGCAACTTTTCGGACTTTTTTCGCCTCATTCTTTTTTCATTTGTTTGCAATATTGGTACATACTCACTCCTATAATAGTGGAGAACTTGTGCCATCATGTCTACTTTATGTTTCTTACATGGAAATGAGAGGTTGTAGTTATCTAACACAGTCAGTAGTCAAATCATACACTTACTTATCTCTGGCGTGCTTCTGAAATTTTTGCTCAGCTTCTTTAAAAAGATCAAATAGCGTGGCATTAGGGTGCATAAGTCCTCCTCTTGTCTTCAAAACTGCAAGAGCTGATGCAGCTCTTGACATATCAGATGTCCCAGTCAGTCCAATCTTGCACTTAGAACAATTTGCATTTTTAGGAGTTTTCGGCAAATAAACCCACATACATAATAAATCATGTAGTCTGTAAAGCTGTCTGATACTAAATCTCATCCTGCACCAATCCATCAAGCCTGTTCTTAAGCTCATCCAAACGTGACTGGCTGGCCAGATCCTCCTTGACAGCTGATGTTAAATCACGCAAGCTAAGGAGTCGTCACTCTTCACTAGGAAGTAACTGGAAATTTCCGTACTTGGGTGGCTTTGCGAGACTGTAAATGGATAGCATACTGTATAATTGCAAGAACGTCTGCAAGCAGGGATGTTCATTTTGGCCTCCAGCTTGGCGTAACACCAAGAAACTTTTCCAAAACATCTTCGTTAAATTTTGCAGTTAATACATATTTGAAGCTGCATTTCTTTAACAAGTAGTTTGACAGCTGAATTGTCAACAGAATAGTCGCTCGCAAGCCCTCAGCAGTGGTTCGTGAAAAAAAAAAAAAAAATTATGAGGATAAATTTGTCCTGCCTTCACTTCTTCCTCCCAATTATTGAGCCATTGTAAAAAGGACTCAAGCACTTCAAAATTTCTTCCGCCTAATCTTGAACCTTTCTTATGGTGTCTGCGAGTCATGTCATCAAAAATGCTGTTAATTCGCACTGTGAAATCGACTTTTTCCGTGCATGGTGTTACAGCCAGATTTGCACTGGGGCACAAAACACTTCTTTCCCATTTTACGACTTGCTCGCATGAACAGCATGGGCTCTCATTGTGCACACACAAAAAACAACGAAAAGAAGAGCGCAAGGTGGCGACAACTGCTTTGTCTGAACAACACCTAAGTCTGAACGGCGCCCGCTTGCTACTCGCACGGCTGTGAGCCACGTAACTGCTCGTGCCATCTCGTGGCGCGCTGCAGCAGAGGAACCACAGCTGAGTGCAGCGAGCGCGTGGCTGTGGCGCTCCATCGTTCCACCTATACTTCTAACACCGTGGTCAGGCCTTTAAAGCTTAATTATGGCAGCTGGCTGCTATGTTTGGTACTGCTGGTTCAGTACGAGTCTTCTCTTAAAAAAGATGAAGATCTTTTAAAGTGACCTTACAGCAGTTTCAAGTAACCATCTAATGGCTTCATTAAAGGAATTTATTTTCTCGCAAATCCACCATTGCAAAAATTTTTAGAACCCGTGAAGTACGAGCGGAGCCACGAAAATTTCTCGTATACTGCAATTGTTTTCTTCTCTTGCCCCGAGAAGTGCACTGGAAGCTGAGCAGGGAAGGATGGCCTGGGGGGAAAATATGTCGTCACATGCCCATCATGACCTTGAGTACTTTTTCTTTGTTTATTTAAATGTGCAGGTTATACTTTTCAGTGCAATTAAAAATGTAGGCATTTGACAGCCTTGGTAACTGGAAGCTCACGCTCAAATCGGCCACTGGCCACGATCTTTGGTATATCAAATATAATAGAGAGGTAATCAGGTACTATCAATCAGGTAATAGAGAAATGCTCAGGATACAGCCAACTACTCTACGTAGCCTTCACAGATTATGAAAAGGCATTTGATTCAGTAGAAATATCAGCAGTCATGCAGACACTGAGAAATCTGGGCATCGATAAATCACATATAGGCATCTCGGAAGAAATCTGCAGATGATCAATCGCCACCATAGTGCTCCATAAAAGCGACAGAATACCAATCAAGAAGGTTGTAAGACAAGGGGATACAATCTCCCCAATGCTATTGACCGCAAGCTTGCAGGAGGTTTTCAGAGATCTAGAATGGGGGGAGTTAGGGATTAGAATTAATGGAGAGTACCTTAGTAACCTGCATTTTGTTGATGGCATTGCATAGCTGAGTAACTCAGGGGATGAATTGCAACTCATGATTACTGAATTAGACAAGAGCAGAAAGGTAGGTCTTAAAATTAATCTGCAGAAAATGAAAGTAATGTACAACAACCTCGGAAGAGAACAGCGCTTCGAGATTGGTAATAGTGCACTTGAAGTTGTAAAGGAATATGCCTACTTAGGACAGGTAGTAACCACGGAGCTGGACCATGAGAGTGAAATAACTAGAAGAATAAGCATGGTATAGAGCACATTCGCCCAGCATTCTCAAATCATGAATGGTAGTCTACCACTATCCCTCAAGAGGAAGGTATATAACAGCTGCATCTTACTGGTACTTACCTATGGAGCAGAAACCTGGCAGCTTCCCAAGAGGGTTTAACATAAATTGAGGAGACGGAGCGAGCAATCGAAAAATGATAAATGTAACCGTAAGAGACGGGAAGAGAGCAGAGTGGGTCGGGGAAAAAAGGATATCATAGCTGAAATCAAGAAGAAATGTTCATGGGCGAAACAGGCAGTGCGTCAGCAGGATAACCTCTGGTTATTGAGGGTAACCGTCTAAATTGCAAAAGAAAGTAAACGCATGAGAGGGAGACAGAAAATTAGGTGGGCGCATGAGATTAAGAAGTTTGCAGGTATTACATGGCAGCAGAAAGCACAAGACTGGGTTGATATGCGGTACATGGGAGAGGCCTTTGCCCTGGATTGGGTGTAGTCAGGCTGGTGACGATGATGAGTGTTTTGCTTGGTAGTTTATGGCTCAGCTAGAGGGAAGATGTGACATGCACACTCATTAACGCGTGTCTACGGTGGCCAGTTTGATTTCTACAAATGCCCGTTTTGTCCTTTGGAATCAACTTGAAACATTGCTGTGCAATCGTACAGCAATGTACCAAGTTTAAAAGAAAAAAAAAGGTTTTAAGTTGAGTAAAAACCAATAAATGAACCACAAAGGGATCCAACTATGTCATGCTGGCATCTCCAGGAACCAAATATGTGCGTGCTGGCAGACACTGTACTCTGCACCAAATATTTGCCTTGAAGCTTTTGCAACTCTGGCATCGCCAATGATTGTCCAGCTTCAAAATTCCAGCTTTCAACTCCAACTTCAAGTTAAGTGTTATTCTGCAGCTGCTTGTCGCAGTACGTTTTCAGATGCTAGTCGTACAGTATGAGCCTTTTGTCGCACTTTTACGAGTCGCTGCACAGCGAAGTCCCTTTTGCATCATGGTTACTAGCCATGAGCGCACAAGACGGTAAACACTGGCAAACTAACTGTGCAGACCCGCTACTGCATGGCTTTCAAAACGTTCATAAAGACGAAGTGTCGGGGGGGGGGACTGAAGAGTGGAAAGTGATAACCGAAACTGCTTTGCACATTGGTCATGCCATAACGGTCACAACATTAGTTGTACAAGTTGTGGGCCTGCCAACGTTTATGCCCCAAGTTACACGTACTTAATGCTAAATACAACCAAGACTAAACAAGCTTATTTCGTTACTTGCATTCATGCTTACGATTCCTACTAATGGTCTATATGTATAGTATGAACATGGCTATCCATTAATAATTTCTTGGCACCAAGCATCGAGTTGCAAAGGATTAACTATGTATCAGTGCAATTGTGTAAAGTATGTTTAGATGCATGTAGCTGTAGCATCTTCCGCCGGAGAATCAGTGCTGGTCATGTATAGTGAAATTTTCTTTGCAGTCGCATTTTGATAGACGCGATATGGTAGCAGAGGCCCATGTGCTCGTTGAAGAAAACCAGATGGTCAAAATTTCCGGAGCCTTCCACTACGGTGTTTCTCATAATCATATCATAGTTTTGGGATGTAAAACCTGACATATTATTCTCATGGAATTTTTTTGGCAAACATAGCACAGAAAGTGCGCTCTGGCTCGTGAGCTCTTGCTATTTTGTTTCCTTAGCAAAAGATGTTATTACAAAATACCCTTTAGGGCAAGCCAGAAGTACCCCTTGTGAAATCAGAATTTTCGAGTGAATTTGACACACACAATTTACCAGTGATATACTGCCTTTTTTTATGCAGAAATGTTGATGCCTTACAAGCCCCGTCCGCAGACATCTGCTTCAGTGGCACGCCGCTTAGTGAGTGGAGCTCTTGGCATGCGGGTGAAGGTGGATGTTGAACAACGAAGAAAGGAACTACAGGTCTTGAAAGAGGCAAAAGGCAAGTAGATGCAGTTTTTGAAGTCTTCCTCACATAGCTGAGAAGCACGAGTGTGATTCAAGACAACATGGGCGCACCAGTATCATTTATGTACGTACTTATGCTGTCCCATTGAGCACTTATTGTTGTTATTTTTTATGTATCTTGTTTCATTTAGATATTGGTGCAGTGTGTAAATGATAACTGGAAGAATGAATTTGTTTTTTGCATGGTCTATGTCCTTTCTTACCCCCATATTCAGAGACGCGCCTTACCTTGAAGATGGCCATGGCTTGACTTGGTCAATGGCTGCGGCAGTTGCATTTTAGTGGACGTAGAGCGCCACATGGTCAAAATTTTCAGCACCCTCCACTATGATGTCCCTCATAATCGTATGAAACCCCAGATATTTTTACTATTGTTGGCTTGGTCAAGTTAGCGTCGAGACAATGTGTGACTTCCAACTCACCAAGACAGCCATTGCTTTTCATAGATGCTCTGAGCGCCTTTTTTCATCAAGTGAGAATTCGCTGACGATGCAACACAACTAGATTTGCGATCATAATTCGGAACGCAATAGTATTTCTTCTAAATAAATAATGTCAACCATGAAGCCCATGATGTGCTGCATTTTGGACATTTAGGGCATAGAAATGCAAAATGTGGTGTAGTACAGCATACGAAAAGAAATGCTATCTGTAAGCCAATCTGTGGCAATGCAGCGAAAAATGAGGAGTGTGCGAATATTCGAAATTTTGAATATTTTTTAATAGTGTTTGCTATTCGAGTTGATTCACATTGGAATTTTTATTATTCAAACTTCTCTGAGACATATGCAGTCATTGTCAAACTAAAAATAACCCCTTCATATCTTAAATATGCTTCACCTCATAACATTCTCATATTGCAGCAAAGCTGCCTTTCCGACTTTGCTACGGTCGAACTTTATAAAAAGCCAGTAAACAGGCTCAAACTTTTTCAACACCCCCAAATATGCTCACAATTTGTACAGTAGACCAGGGTGATCACATTTGCCGAATATTCAGCACTGCGCATTAGGCAGACCCTCCATTTAGAAAATATTGCCCCCACCTCCCCGAAGGGAGTCCTGAGAAAATGCGAGTGCATTTCTTGCGATGAGAGTACCCGGCCTAGTAAATTTAATGGCATAAATTAATTAAGAGACGAGGATTTGTGCCATAACCATTTACTTATTCATCAGCCAGCAAATGGTCGAGAGTGGGGTGTGAGCTTCACTCCATTTATATTGTTACGAGTAACTACTTTAATAATCTATTTACAACGCACAGAACTTGACGAGCAAGATGGCACCAGTCCAGCATCAACCAAAAACTCACTTCGTCCTCCTCTTTCATGCAGCCGTGTTTAGCGGCTGTTATGTATCATAACCTCCGGCGGTAAAAGCACCGTCTCGGTGCTAAATCTACGCAAATGATGTCGAAGGGGGGTAATAGGGCTTTAGCCGAGCCGCGTGAACGGTGTCGCTCGGTACTGACGATGACTTTGTTGGATCGGTTGGGACAATCTCGTACGTGACGTCTGTCACTTGGTGAACGATACGGAATGGTCCAGTGTAGGGCGACAACAGTTTCTCAGACAGTCCCACACGCCGAGTGGGTGACCAGAGGAGCACGAGAGAACAAGGGAAAAGTGCACGTCTCTATGGTGAGAATGGTAGAGCTGTCGTTCGTTGGTGCGCCTGTGAAGCCTGTAGAGAATTACGGGCGACTTGGCGCGCGTGGTCGGCGCAGGCAATGGCTTCCCCGGCATATTCATTGGCCGCAGGTAGCAAAGTGTCTAAGGGTAGAGTTGGGTCCCGGCCATATAGGAGATAGAAGGGCGAATAGCCGGCAGTGTTGTGACGGGACGAATTGTAGGCGAACGTCACGTACGGCAAATGAATGTCCCAATCCTGGTGGTCTGGCACAACGTATTTGGCAAGCATATCGGTTAGGGTCCTGTTGAGGCGCTTAGTGAGGCCATTTGACTGGGTATGGTACGAAGTAGTAAATTTGTGCTTGGTATAACAAGAACTCAAGATTTCGTGAACGACAGCTGATAAGAACGAGCGGCCACAGTCGGTGAGAAGTTGGCGGGGAGCACCGTGCACTAACATTATGTCGTACAGCATAAAGTCCGCAACATCGGTAGTGCAACTGGTTGGGATTGCTCGTGTGATTCCGTACCGCGTCGCGTAGTCTGTGGCAACAGTAATCCATTTATTTTCAGCTGTGGAGAGTGAAAAAGGGCCCAACAGGTCGAGACCAACTCGAAAGAAAGGTTCAGTGGGAACGTCGATCGGCTCAAGGTAGCCAGCTGGGAGGGCAGACGGCGTTTTGCGACGCTGGCAGGGCTCATAAGCGGCGACATAGCGTCGAACAGAGCGTGCAAGTCCAGGCCAAAAAAAACGACGTAGTACCCAATCGTATGTGCAAGAAACACCCAAATGGCCCGTCATGGGAGTGTCATGAAGTTGGTGCAGGACAGTGGAACGCAGGTGCGCTGGGATGACAGGAAGTAAGTCAGATTCGAAGGAATCAAGGTTATGGCGGTATAGAATGCCATCTTTCACCAAAAACATTCGTAGGGATGGGTCGCGAGGCAGTGACTCCAGTTTGTCAATGATGGCTCGTAAAGAAGCATCCCGACGTTGCTCTTCGCCAATGTTCAGCAGCTGCGACACGGAAAAAACGTCCGCGATAGCGTCAGTATCGGTTGCTTCATCCACAGGGTAGCGGGATAAACATTCCGCATTATGATGTAATCGCCCTGTTTTATGCATTACAGAGAACGTGTATTCTTGAAGGCGTAGGGCCCAACGAGCGAGACGTCCTGTGGGGTCCTTCAGGGAGGCTAGACAGCAGAGCGCGTGATGATCCGTGACAACACGGAATGAGCACCCCTACAGGTATTGGGGAAACTTGGCGACTGCCCATACAAAGGCGAGGCACTCGTGCTCCCAAGATGGAATAGTTGCGCTCGGCTGGAGAAAGCAGTCGACTTGCGTAGGCTATAACACGGTCATGTCCCCGTTGGTGCTGCAATAGCACAGCTCCTGTGCCGTGTCCACTGGCATCCGTGTGAACCTCGGTTGGGGCTGATGGATCAAAGTGAGCCAAGATTGGTGGCGTTGTAAACAGGGTCGTAAGTTAAAAAAGCGATGACGCTTGGTCATGGCCCCAAATAAACGAGGCGTCTTTCTTCAAGAGGTCTGTGAGGGGGCGTGCAATGGTCGCAAAGTCCTTAACAAAGTGTCTCCTATTGGTTGTGCCATTTTGGTCTTGTTTGAAAGGTCGCGTTTCCAGCTTTTTTCTTGTTTTCAGTAAGCAACCATGTGCCCCACGCGAAGGCAAAAAAAAAGCAAAGCAAAACCACGCGCTGCGCACGGCTCCATTGGTTGCCTGACGCACGTGACCAAAATGGCGTTTCTCGATTGGCCAGGAAACCTTGATGGCAGTGCCAGCTGCCATTTGAAAAGGTATCGCTCTTGCGATGGTGTCTTATCGCTAACGTGTTTGTGCGGTCAGGGTGCTAGAATATTTTGGTGCGGTTCGCTATGCCCGGCGGTGCGAAAAAGTTCCGGTCGAAGCATCAGTTTGGCTGTTCACTGAAGAAAGGCAGGGGTAGAAAGCCCAATGGTGCTGCTACTGCATCGCGGGAGCAAGCTCCGACATCGTCTGATAATGTCGACGTGGCCGTAGACGATTCCTCGTGCGTGCGTGGCATGGACGCTGGCCGCACGAGTATTGATGTTATCGTTAACAGAGGAGTCCGCGAGACGGGTTCCCCGGATAGCGTACGCTCTGTGGACTATGACCGCGCCGATGCTATCGGGAACGGAGAAGAGCGTAGACATGCACCTCCCTGACAGCGTGCGCGCTGTCGACTCCGGCCGTTTGAGGGTAGACGCTGATGTGATCGGAAAGAGAAGCATCTGAGAATGTGAAGAAGCTGGCCAAGAGGAGGAATAAGGATGGGATGCATCCAGATTATGCCCCTGGTGCATTTTCTTAAGCTTTTATAGGTATTTTTCCAATAAAAATGTTTTGCAACATTTTTCCTTGTTTTCTCAAAGCAGCAATTTTGACACATTTGTCACAATGGAGGATAAATAGCTTCTGTTCTATTTGAGCTGTCAGCATAATTTTTGTTTTGCCAGAAAGATAAATGCATGCAGTAAGCAATATGCCTATTTTCAGGGCAATATACATATGGTATGTGACAATGGCTTTTTTTTTCTTTAAACATTGATGACCTCTATCTCTTGTTTAAAATTCGCCTAGTAAATTGATTTATAGCATCTTGCTATCCTTGAACATCCTACATTGTTTCAATACTGTAACCACCATTTTTGGGTTTTCTGATTAGACGCTAATTTTGCTCCAAACAAAGGACCCAGCTTATGCAATGATAGCACAGTATATTGGGAACTACTAGCCCTATCACAAAAGTAATTACATTTTTTGGAATCTGCACATCAAAATACACAAACTGAAAATTTGGTTCAGATTTATCCATAAATGAAAAAGCCGCTTTTCAAGTGCAGCTTCCCTCCTTAAAGAGTTGCTGGAAAAGTCGAAAATGCAATAATAGCCCTCAAGAATGTGGCAAAGCGCTGCAACTTGCTCAGACGTGAGGTCCAATGACACCATTCGCTCGATGTCGGCGCCCCAAGAACATGATGGAGTAGAACCACTGACTGAGCTGCAGCAATCGTCCACTCTGAAGGGCTCGACATAGTCTTCTTGGAGAGCGGTAATTTTGGCCAGGGAGATACCCTGTGGTAGAACTTGGGTGGTGAGTGAGAAGTTGACCAGTAGAAGGAAGGTGCGGTTTCTCGTAATCGTTAGAATCATATGCGGCACGGCAACCCATGCGAAAGCATCATGGCAGGAATCGGGGCCACCATGTAATCATCGTCAGATACTGGCGGCATGGAAGATGAGTCGACATGTGTGACAGAGTTAGGCGGGAGGCACGTGAAATCAATGCAGCAGAGGCTGGTTTGCGGTGGGCTGGTCGAGTCGGAAAAGAGAGGTAAATCGAGATGGAGAGAGCCAGCTGAACAGTCTATGAGGGCAGAGTGCGTGGCTAAAAAATCCATACCAAGAATGAGTTCATGAGGGCAATGTTCGATAATGACGAAAAGAACGACGGTGCTTCTCTCCCCAATAGAAACTTGCGCAGAGCACATGTCAAGAATTGCGGCAGTTCCTCCATCGGCGACTCGTACAGCTCGATTGAGGGCGGGTGTGACTTTTTTAAGTCGGCGGCAAAGGTTAGCACTCATAATGGACACATGCGTGCCTGTATCTATCAATGCGCTGACACAAACATTGTCGACAGTAACGTCCAAAAGGTTCCGGTTTGTCGTTAATGCTAAGCGAGGATTTCTTACGAAGGTCGTCAACGCAGCTCCACCTCCAGAAGCTGCACGGCCTAGTTTTCCGGTCGGAGGTGCTGCGAATAAGTTGGGGAGGCAGCACGGCATTGTGGGGGCGACCGGGACTGACGACGAGCAGGGGAGGATGACCGGTCGTAGCGAGGTCTGCTCAGAGGTGCTGCAGGAGCGGAAAACGTGGTCGGCATTGATAGAGAAAGTGATGGGGGCGACTGGCGGACAGAAGTGGCGTGAGACTGAGGTGCATAATGTGACGGTGGAGCGCAGCGGTTGCGGCAGTGATGAGTGATATGACCAACGCGTCGACAGTTAAAACATATGGGCCTGTCATCAAAGGTACGCCATTCGGACGGATTGCAATAGATGCGAGGAGCAGAAGGGGGACGATAAGAAGGCTCAGCAGAGTATACAGCAGGAACAGGATGTAGGCCGACATTCGATAGCTCTTGATGAACGATGGCTTGTATCAAAGAGATCGTGGTCGAGGAAGGCGCAGGCGTCGGGAATGGCGTGGCTACCGGTTGTGCTGCCTCGACCTCTCGACAAACGATGCATGAGAGGTCGTCACGTTGAGAGTCCTGGTGGAAGGCGTCGCCATACGAAGTAGCCGCTGTGTTCAGAAGGCGCACGATGCTTTGGGCTACGTGGCGGGCTTTAGCTTGTTCAAGACGTCAGCATTCTTTAAGGATGGTGTCGATGCTCGAGACGTTGCTAAAAACCAGCAGGTTGAAAGCATCATGGGCAATGCCTTTCAAGACGTGGTTAACCTTTTCGTCTTCCGACATGCTTTGGTCGGCCTTGGAACAAAGGGCCAAGACATCAAGAATGCAGGAGACATATGATTCAGTAGAAGACTGGGCCCGTGTGGCAAGAGCCTGCTTTGCAGCGAGCTGACAACCAGATAAATCGCCAAACAGGTCGCAGATCTTTTCTTTCAAGAGATCCTAGCTCGTTATGTCGGCTTCGTGGCTTTCAAACCATGTTCGGGGAGTGCCGTCCAGGTAGAAAAGCACGTTGGTAAGCATGAGCATGGGATCCCAGCGGTGAGCAGCACTGACGTGCTCGTACCGGTTCAGCCAAGTGTCAAGATCGATCGTACCATCACCGGAGAAAGTGCCGGGATCCCTGAGGTGTGGGAGTTGGGCGTAGGTAGCGGCTTGGACTGATGAGGGCAGCGTAGAGGAAGTACCAGCAGTCGAAGGGTTGCCGATGCTGCGACCGCTGCGCGTCTCCATTGAGGTACGGGGGTCGTCCACCTCCACCAATAATGTTACGAGTAACTTCTTTAATAATCTATCTACAACGCACAGAACTCGACGAGCAAGATGACGCCAGTCCAGCATAAACCAAAAACTTACTTCGTCCTCCTCTTTCACGCAGCCGTGTTTAGCGGCTGTTATGTATCAATATATACGTACGAGCGTGCGGCCAGGAGAGTGGGGTGCAGGGAGGAGAGAGAGCGGTTTGTGAGAGGAGCAGCGAAGAACTGCACCTACCCTCATCTACACTCTCTCCATACACGCAAGAGCTCTGCCGGGCTCTTGTGATGCGAGTGTTTTCACATGCCAGAGCACGCTCCTCCTCTCCACTCACTCTCTGCTACTCCGCCCGCACCACCTGCTCCGGTTGCTAGGGGCGAGAATAAGCGCGCGTGCCCGCAACTGTTGCTATGGGAGAGGGAGTGACAGTCGGCGCGTGGACACCGACAGACGCTTGACATGCACTGACTAAGCAATGCATTCGCATTTAAAACAATTTTCCCTTGCCCGACCAATCCTCTTCGTATGCACAGTTTGACAAAAGCTTGGCCATGGGCAATGTTACGCACCACTGAGCTTGTCGATTGGTTCTTTGCCCTACGAAAAAGTACCTTGGCGCTGTAGCGATGCAGTTTCAGCCACGCAGTCCACATTTTCATTTTTTCTGTGCTGCCCGCTGCCGTTTTGTTGAACCCGAGACTCTGGGAAAAGCAGTATTTTCAGGACAAAAGCCTCCGAAATAAAAAGGCGTCTCATTAATATACTGTGAGGGAAAAAGTGCTTCTCGCTTCGTGTTTCCTGCCCATGCGCCACTGTGGCAAGTGCTCATGTGGGGGAAGCCTCTCTAGGTCGTTGGTTGCACGCCAATGACGTATATCGGACGTCGTGTTGCATTGCCGAAGAGGGTGCAGTCAAGATGACGGGCTACTCCTTCGCGAAGAAAAGTAGCAAGCAGCCCGCAAATATTTGAAAGTGGCTGAAACAGATCTTCTAACCCCTCCGACTTCCTTATTATAGTATGTATTCGCAAAAGTTTTCATATTAAAAGTGGGCATATTTCTCTTCATTAAGACTTTTGGACCTTGGGGTTGTTTACTGGCCCTTTAAACACAAAGATGTCTAATTAAAAGTGAACCCTTCAAATTTTTATTTTGCTTCATCTCATCAAAGCTGTCTTTTAGACTGTACTACCGTAGAAATTTTTAGGCAAATACAGTCTGTGTCTGATCAAATGTGGTCTGTTAAGATGTTTAAATGCTTCACCTTTATGCACTCTCATATTGTGGCGAAGATGCCCTTCGAGCTCCACTAAGTTGCAAATGTATTGACTCAAGAAAACGCTGGTTCCAACGTGAAGATAAACAGGGCAGAGATGCGGGCTCAATTAATGTTGTTTTGGACCTGAAATTTAGGCAGGAAGCCCGAAATTTGGCTCGCTGAAGGCTTTTAGCATCCAAAATTTCAGATGTTCTTGTATGCCGATGTCTACGAGCCAGATTAAGAACTCCTAACACCTCACACGAAGAAAGCACAACCTCAACTGCCACATCAGTTGGGCTTCCACAGAAGTTGGAAGAGGAGGAGAGGCTGAGGAAATAGCATCTTTGCTTCTCTAGTGTAAAGTATTGCCCGCACACTTTTGTTATGTTAAATCATGTGCTAATATATTCGGCCTCTGCACTTCCTCATTTCTGATAAAACAACTATCAAGTGCCACCCTGCCAGCGCTTCATCAACCTAAGAAAAAGAAACACTTTCATGTTGCTATATCTCATAAGAATATGCTTAGGAATTCTTTCCTACTTTTTTCCTGCTGCAGTTTCACTTCAGATTCTTTCACAAATATTAAAAAAATATTCGATTCAATATACATTCTAAATTTTTGCTTTTTCACACAGCTCTACCAAAAATACATAACGTGAGAGTTGTGCATTGGCTATGTTCTTTCAAATCACAAGAACACCAACTCTTGCTCTTACTCTTTCCAAAAAAAAAAAAAAAAAACATAGTAGTATGTGGCCTCTGAGATTCGTTCTAGCAATTCATCATTGTATGTTAATTGTGGAAGCCATGGCACTAATTTCATGTACCCTTACACTTCCATTTGATTCCCTTTATCATGCAACCATAGCCTCAGCACACTTGATGAAAAGTGCGCATCTCCGGATGTGACATTGAGAGTCTTGCATGCAAACTGAAAAATACTTGTAGCATTCCCAAGAGGCTGCTTCTTCGGTAGTAGGCCACGTCTTGCTCAAATGCTTCACCTTTGAAGACAGATTCAAGACTTCTCCCTTCGTCTTTGGTTTTCAAGTTGGCTAGATGGAGGGAAGCTCAATGCAAGAGTGCTCTTTCAGTTGAGGGCAGTTTCTGAAACACGTTAGCGCTTTCTTGAGCGGGGGCAAGTCAGAGTGCATTTCTGAATATGGGGTTCTGGCATTTCAGCACCATTTTTCTACTTGTGCTCTTGCTTGCTAATTCTTTTACATTTTGTTGTATCTTGCACATCAGGAAAACACAATTGCCTGCTAGATTAGTGCTGCAATGGAAGACTAGCAGCACTACTTTATTTTTCGAGATTTTTTTTTTCAGTCATTGCATAACCAATGCCAAACATTTTGACTTACTGAAAAGACTATGGCACTCTTTTGAAAAACAAAGAGGAACTTTCAGTCTTGGCTACAGTTGACTTAGCAACATAAAAACGACTCTTGACGTAGACACACCATATCCTCACAATTGCATGTCAAACACACAAAAGAAAAAAAAGAGAAAGTGAGCACATTTCACAGCTAAAATTATTGTACATAGACACTGGACCACGGAGAAAGAGTAGACAGGAGAGAAACTCTGCTCCTTTCCGCGCCGCGATTGTGTCACACCCTGGAGCGGGGGCGAACGTCGTGACAGCGCCACCTACAGAACCGCAGCCGAACTGCCGCGCCGAAGCTGCAGACGTGAGAAGCGTGGAGCCCGCTCTTGTCATCTGCTTGCATGCTTACTCTCGCTGCTCAGTGTATTAGTGCACAGTTCAGATACACTCGCTAAACGAGACGGCAAATCATTACGACGAGTTTTCGCTATGCTAGCCAGATCGCCTTGGGAGAGAGACCATACCGCAATACTTTCGCACAGCTGTCCACAAGCACTAAACAGGTTCTCTTTCACTCTTTCACCTTTGCATGTGAGGGTAGAAATATTATTTGTGGGAACATGGCATAGAAAAAGCGGTAATAAAAAAAACATACAAGGGGAGCTTTTTATATTGGAAAAATTTTAAAAAGTAAAACGAAAAAGCAGAAAAAAACATTTTTCTATGTGTCTGCTTTCTTCTGAAGCTTGTTTTATGTTGAAACTTCCTGAGAACCAATCGTTCATGCCAAGCTGCAACAACCAAACACGTGAAACTGAGAACCACGCTTTTTTCACGATGTAGCTTGCCTGGAAGTTTGGTAAAATATTTGTCGGAGACTTCTGACTCGTGACGAGTATCCTCTACCTTCGCTCGTTTGTTGCTGCTTTTTTCAGTAATTTCAGCGATATTCTGGCCAGTTTCTGGCTTCATTTCTGGGCACGAGTAAGTAAAACCTCTGCTCAAATACTTAAGACGCCGCTTCAGCGAGTTACAAGATCTTTGGCTGGTCAGGGATGTCTGTAAATTTAAACTTAGCGTAGTGCTGTGCCTGGCGACCTTTCCGCTAGCGTAGTGCTGTGCCTGGCGACCTTTCCGCTGCGAAAATAATTTTCTTAGATGCAGTCGCTTCGCTTGCATTGTCTATCTCCTCTTCATATAGCCCTCGCCCATTCTTGCTACTGTTCTTAGTCAGACAGAGTATTGAAAGGTCAAACCTTTTTTTTACGCATAATTGATTCACAGCTCGAGATAGTCTCCGCTCTTATGTTCAAATCAATTGCCGTCTGCTCAAACATGCTTCGTGAATGTCCATCTTGCTTTCCCGCGCAGTAGTTCTGTATGACACTGTTATATTGAAGAACGTGCAAAATATATCCTCAAGATACACAATGAGTGATTTTAGGCATGTGCCTAGCTATGATTGCAGATCGTCCATTTTTTAAAAAATTCTACCACTTCATTTCTTTCGTTGTCTGCAGAGCATCTGATCCCACATATATAATTAAAAATACTGGCACTAAGATGTTATACTTGCTTCATTTTGTTTTGGCGAACCGCACCGGCGAAAAACTTTCATAGCTGTATCCAGTAGCATAGTAAAGTCGGTGAGAAGCAGATGTAGCAGACAACTCTCGGGTGCTCTCCTCCCGCGGTGGAAGACAAATAGTTCTGGGCATCGCCGCAAGAATCGCTGCGCGCCCGTTCTACAACCTCCTCTCCCAGAGGGACATTATCGTGGCGCACACGCTCGCGCTGGCACCAACCCGGAGTTTCCCCTCCTGTCTTTCTTGCTCCGTGCACTGGACTGACTACTTTTCAGCCCTGAAGTCATCATCTTGTTTGTGAACTTTAATGCTAAAGGCCAAACCACACCACATGCAGCTATTTTGCCAGCATTGTTCTGGCATTTCATTCCTTGGTGGGTGTGACTTGGCATCGAAGCTGCTAGCGATGGCGGCTGAAATGCCCTCCTCAGAACGTCCCAGACATCGCCAGCATCGACGCCGGAAGCAGTTCAATGAACAAAAAACCAGTCGGTGCGTGGCTGGCAGCGACTTCTGCTTATGTAATGGCGTCGTTGCTGCTGCCAAAATGGCTGCCACTGGCCTTGGATTTATTGAGTCGTTGACGTGCACTATGCAGCTCTCAAATACTAAAATAATCCTTATATTTGACTTAGATTGTTCCCTAGAAGCTTTGACAGCAAACAGCTCATGATATTATTGATGAAAACCCATGCTCCTCTCTGCCATTACTCACACATCAGAATACGACTATGATGTATCTAGAGCTCTAGAGGCGCGTAAAAATGCGCGCCTGCGTCTTAGCTATTCACAGGGAAGGCAACGACTCGTCTAGAATGCCCGACATCGTGATGTCCACTTTAACCTTGGTGGCACGGTCCTTCTCAGGATGCTGTCACGGCGAGTTGGCCTGTGCGAGAAGTTGACTTTGCCGTACTCTGATCTGTGCAGTGTCATGTACCAAGCCACCAACGTCACATATAAACTCAAGCCTTTAAACACCAGCTGCGATTGTGTTTGAACATTGTTCACGTTACTCGTCTGAAGCAATATCACTTGGACCAGCCAAGCGCCAAGACTGTGCCTTTGCCGCTAGGGGTGATACCACAAGGCGCCAGAGATGAATACTATAGAGAAGACGACGACGCTGAGTGATATTTTGAGCAGACTGGGTTCTGTCTTGTATGCCTGCTTTTAAGTGCTGTGTACACCTTTCAAATATATTCTGTACATACTATATATATTTCCTGTTTTTGAGATCTCGTCGGTAGGCTTGGCAGAAATCAGTGTATAGGCCGAATACGTGGCCGCAAAGATGTGTGACAACTTGAAGATCAGAGGCCATATATTATGAGTTTGTCGTTTTTCTTAATCTCAATAGCTGATGCTACAGGCAGAATAAAGGAGAATAGACCTTTCGGCAGCACTTGTGACTCTTTTCTTGCACAGCAAAATGCAAATGACACATAAAGCTTATAATCAGGAATATTCCTCGGTCCATTGTGGAAACTGCACATCAATTTTAGACATGTCAAATTCATTCATTCTGGGACACAATGCACGACGCTGGGCTGGCACTGGCCTCAGTGCTTTTCATGTGGTTGGCCACCCTCTCTAGCGGCGTTTATGTGACTATGCCAAGAGACGCGATTCTAGAAAATGCCAGCAAAAACGCTGCATGTGGTCCGCCTTAAAGCCCTACTTGCCTTGAAGAGAGTTTTTGGTATTTTCCCTTTCAAAGCGAAGACACAGGCCATGTCATGGCCATTCCCCAAGCTACCAGTGGAGACTGATTGCGAAGTTCATTCGCATGTGTTGCAAGCTTTGAAAAGCGTCCCAACTTTGGTCCACGGAAACCTTGGTGCATGGCATCACATGTGAAAATTTCAGCTGCAGTTACCACTGTCACACCACCCATTCAGAAGTTCCAAACTTGTGCCCCACCACGCAAAACACAACTGTGAATGAATGGCAAAAACTTCTTGACATCGAAGCATTATTGAGGATTTAGCATAACAGTAGCATGCATCTGTTGTAAATAAGAAACATTCTCATAAGACAAAGACAAGCTCTTTTACCAAATAGTACCGAGACTGTCTTCTGAACAAATCACTGCAGTTTACCGCCACTAGTGCTGCTCTTTCGAACAGGGGCTCAGTTATCAACAACAGCCACGTGCACAGGACACACCGTAAAAGCTGAGGAAAAAAAAACAAAAAGTGTTTCAAACAAGCACACACAATAGCCATACACTACGAGTAGAACCAGAAAGCAACTGTAAGGTGACCATGCTGTAATATCCCGGATTTCTCGTTTGTCTTGTTGTTACTGGCGAAAGTGCACGTTACCGGCGAAAGTGCAAGTTGACCCCCTTGCTTAGAATTTTCAAATTTTTTGCAAAATAGGTGGACCCACAACTGTGTAGTCACTGTATATATCATGAACAGCTAAGAAAATGAGAGCAAATGTTGACAAGTTGCTGCTGCACATATGAAAGAAGGCACATCTTGATTTGCACTTACTAGTTGCATTTCTTTCACTTTGTGCACTGCACGTTTGCAGCTAATGGTATAGTTCTTGGCACTAATGTCATTGCTTTTGCTGTTTTTGTCAATACATTCTGGACTGTTTGACTGTGCCTCTTATGCAGGAAAGAGAAAGACTGCAGCCAAGCAGCGAGCTGACGTGTGGAATGGAGATGTATCATGACTTGCTAGCAAGCTCAACACTGGAAGCTACTTGTTGCCCATCCTGGCCTGCATCAGACGGGGGGAGTTACTGACTGTATATGGGTCACCACCTCTCGCTGTAAATGGTTGTCCAAGTGAGACCATTGCCCTCTGGAAGGTGCGCCGATGGTAGCAGCAGGTGTTTCCAGGTCCTGCAGCATGGAAGTGTCTGGCTTAGTCAAATAAACGAATATTTAGTCAAATAAACGAATAAACAAACTAAAAACTGTTATGAGATAAAAACTCCGGTCACACGCGGCGCCATAGTCGTTCGCCGTTGCCAGTGTCCGTAACCACTTTCCCAAGAAATAATAATAAAAAAAAACCTAGTACCAATGACAGTGAGGCTCGAACCTGGGTATGCTGCGTGCCAGCCCAGTATTCTACCACAGAGCCACGCCGGTGCTTGGGACTTGTTCGCTAACTTGCTTTAGGCAGTCTTCATGTCGGGAAAGGAATTGCGTTAATATGAGTAATAAAGCATTTTAGAACAGCAAAAGAACAACCAGGCATCACACAATGAGAATAGCGTAACGAGTGGGTCGTCCAATAGTTCCAACCCATTACAAAAGCTTGTTCTTAATCATCTATTAACTGTGGTGTATACCCCCTTCAAGTATAACTCCTCATCGTCGCCACCCACTGCATTAACAATTGGCACAAAAATTCCTTGCAAGTTTCTCACCATGCTTCTCAGAAGAATGATGAAGGATAGCATAGCGTACGCCGGCCTACTACTCGGAAATTATTATTATAGCCGCAGTGGGTACCCAGCAAGTGTGCTTGCAGCAGTTACCCAATGATTGTTTAGAAAAGGCTGTGAAAGGCCGCTCTTCTAGCTTTTACTGTGACTGTGCTGTGCTTTCCGCGCAGGCCTGGCATTCTTTGGCTGAATATGATTGGGAAAAAAAAGGCTGGCACAAAGTTATACCATCAAAAGTTTATTTGAGTTATCTACAATTGGTTTCTGCTCTAGCAACGTTACAATTCTATGAAAACTTATTCATACATGTACCTTCTCAATGTAGGTCTTTTTACCTCAAAGACGCCCCATTTGCCTACTGGCTTAGGGGATTTAATTGAGTACAGAATTTTTTCTTTTTGAGTACAAAATTGCGTCTTGTATCTCCTTCGACCACCTTTTGTTGGTGCCGTGCCGACCATCTGCAGATGATTCGTTGTCACTGCTTTCTTTTGCCCTGTTGTCTTCAGGATGAGAGCTCTTCCTAGGTCATATAGTTCTGATTCCGGAGAAAGAACTGCCCTCCTTGGGGTAACTTTGCGACAGTTGACGTGTCACAAAGTTACCCCGTGAAGTATTCTGTAACCTTAAACAGACATGACGTGATTAATTTTATATCACAGTTTATTTTAGCCTACATAGCTCCCGCCTTGTCGGTGTTGACGTCCCCATTCGCGAACGCGATCGGCTTCACTTCTCGCAACATCGGCGACAGCGGGGAAAGGTACGCGCACACTAGTGAGAAGCATGCCGCGACAGCGTCTTGCCAGTCGGCGCGATCGCCCAGCAAGCAGCAGCAGCAGCACGTTGTCCGCATTGTCGGCATCGCGAGATTATTGAGGTGCGTGCAGCGCGTGCACCCGCCCGCTCGCGGTTTCTTTTCACCGACAGAGGGAGAGAGGTGGCGCAGGTGAGATGATGCCCACCTGAGGAGTGGGCTCAAGCGTCGTGAGTCATTGGGAACTCACTCCTGCAGGGAAAGCATCTGAACGTTGGTGTATAGAGCAGCGAACAATTTGCTGATTAGGTGCTGTTTATTTGTGCAAGAAAGTTCTATGCCACAGTTGAATTTATTGCACCTGTTTTCATATGTCACTTGCGCCATGGCTTTACTGTATTTAACAGCATAATGCTCGCACACCCCACAATGACCATGAAAAATGGAATTTTTTTCCCCCCTTTAGATGTCTATGCACCCTTGCTTGTTTCATTTGGCAATGGTATGGTGCGTGACAGTTAAGCTTCACCTATTAAGCATAATGCACACTGTTGGCACTTGCAATTACAACTTAGTCCAATAATTCTCGGTTTATTTAGTGCTTGCAAATAAAGGCCCTTTGCAGTGCCACCACTGTAATTGCAAACAAGAAAAGAAGAAAAATATGCTGTTTTGAAGTAACATTGAAGACCCATGACAGTGGTCTAGTAGTTATGGTTGCTCGACTGCTGAGCCGCAGGTCATGGGATCAAATGCCGGCTGCGGCGGCCAAATTTTCTATGCAGGTGAAAATGCTTGAGGTTCATGTTCTTATATTTAGGTGCATGTGAAAGAACCCCAAGGAGTCCAAATTATCGGAGCCCTCCACTACACCGTTTCTCACAATCATACGAGGCATTTTTTTCTTTTTCTAAAAGAGCCACATGCTGAAACTGAGAAAAACTGGTTTTAATTATTGACAATATGGTTAAGCCTGCTCAAACAAGTTTTTGCCAGTATGTTCCTTTCCTCTAAACAACAGAAATCTATATTGTGGCTAAAATCTATATAGCATAATATTGTCAATATTGAGGAGTGAAGTTTGTATTTGGCTCATATAAATGGGAACATTTCATTTGGGTACGAATTAGCTCCTAAAATAAGCGCAAAAATGATTCGAATGTACGTTATAGTAATATTTTGTGGTACAATTAACATGATTCGAATGCATGGTGTAGCAATATTTTGTGGTACAATTAACATGATCCTTCTACTTTCGTTGGTGCCATGCTTTGTTGCATGGGAGTAATGAGGATTACTAAAAACGAAAAATTAGTGGTCTTTCCTGACAAAGGGCGTACGTACGTACTGTACTGACTATATCCTGTCAATAGTTTTTTTTCTTGTTCCTGGCATCTATTGAAGGCCTTGGAGAGTGTTCTAGTTCATTTTATACTATGTAGTTTTGGACCACTTCTTCTTCGGGGAATAGATGGATGCCAAAAATATTCATTTCACGTGTATCTTATGTAAAATATTCCATGTTGGAGCCAACGGATGACATGATACTGTAGTGCTAAACTCAAAAACAATTATCAAGAGGCAAAAAGAAGCAGGAAAGTCAGCCTCTTACTCTTTTCGTCATTGAACATTCTGTCCTTCAGTAAGTGCCAACTCGCCCAACAAAAACCCAATTGTGAAACGTGAACACAGTAGCAAAGCATCTATTACACATCATCATCATCATCAGCCTGACTACGTCCCTTTGCAGGACAAAGACCTCTCCCATGTTCTGCCAGTTAACCCGGTCCTGTGCTTGCTACTGCCAATTTATACCCGCAAACTTCTTAATCTCATCTGCCCACCTAACCTTCTGTCTCCCACTAACCCGCTTGCCTTCTCTGGGAATCCAGTTAGTTACCCTTAACGATCAGCAGTTATCCTGTCTACGCGCTACATGCCCGGCCCATGTCTATTTTTTCTTCTTCTTGATTTCAGCTATGATATCCTTAACTACCCTTTGTTCCCTAATCCACTCTGCTCTCTTCTTGTCTCTTAAGGTTACACCTACCATTTTTCTTTCCATTGCTCGCTGCGTCCTCAATTTAAGCTGAACCCTCTTTTTAAGTCTCCAGTTTTCTGCTCCGTAGCTAAGTACCGGCAAGAGACAGCTATTATATACCTTCCTCTTGAGGGATAGTGGCAATCTACCTGTTATAATTTGAGAGTGCTTGCCGAATGTGCTCCACCCCATTCTTATTCTTCTAGTTACTTCAATCTCATGGTTCGGCTCCGCGGTTATTACCTGCCCTAAGTAGACATAGTCTTTTACAACTTGAAGTTCACTATTACCTATCTCGAAGCGCTGCTCTTTTCCGAGCTTGTTGTACATTACTTTGGTTTTCTGCAAATTCATTTTAAGACCCACCTTTCTGCTCTCCTTGTCCAACTCCGTAATCATGAGTTGCAATTCGTCCCCTGAGTTACTCAGCAATGCAATCTCATCGGCGAAGCGCAGGTTACTAAGGTACTCTCCATTAACTCTTATCCCTAACTGTTCCCTTTCTAAGCTTCTGAAAATCTCCTGTAAGCACGCGGTAAATAGCATTGGGGATCTCACGCTTTATGTTACACAAATGTAACATAAAGGGTGAGATCATCTTGGTTGTTTTCGTCACAATTGTTGGTGCAGTGCTGGTTTAATGAATGTGGCTCAGTTTGATTGAAACAGTTAAAGTATTTGGCTCATTTTTCTTTAGAAGCTGCCTTTCTGAGTTCATGTTACAATAAGAAATTGCCCCATTTTTATTGGAATTGTTCTAGAAGTTGAGGTACTTAGGCAAGCTTTGTCCTTTAGTTAAATTTAGCCTAGTGTTGGTTTCTGCATTTGGCTATTTTTGAAAAAATTGCCTCATATGGTAGTTTGAAATGTGAAACCCAATGATTGCTATTATTATTATTAGAAAAGCCTTGAATTTCAAATTACAGAGGCTGATATGAAAACAGCTTTATTATAGTACTGCATATTTTTATTGCGATACTAATTATATGGACACTTGGCTATATTTTGCAGCCGGCACTGGCACTGCCGTCATTCACCATATATGTATCTATATACATATATGAAAACGCAAGAAAGAAAAATAATCCAGGAAAAAAAAACTGGCTCTCGAAATCAAACATTCGACCTCTGAATTGTGAGTGCGAGATGTCAGCCACTGAGCCATAAAGGAGCACCTCCTTTAACGTTGAAATGGCAAGCTATTTATATCTACCACTTACCACTGGCGATGGACATCTCGGGAGAAGTATCATGTTTTCAGCATTACAAGCGAGATGGTACAGTGAGCGCGTAGGCAGATCGTCACAATGTGGCGGGGCGTGCTCTCATCTTCCACGCGTGCTTTGCCCCGTGGAGAGAAGACACTCATGCGTGCGCTAGCTTAACTCGTGGTGGGGACAATAGTATGCCTAGGGCTTTCACGGGAACGATTCTGTTGTAGTTACCGGGCACACAAAGGTCACTGCAATCGTTGCACAGTCTCTGTTTGCTAAAAGGGCGCGCTTTTTAGACGCAGTGAAGTAACAACTGAGACGCTTATTTGCATTCATCTGTACCTGTGAGTACGTTTCATGCGTCAGTTCTGTGTGAGAAACGCGGGGCACGTTTCAGTCTGCTTGCCATTTTCGCGTGACCTTCTCATTTGTTGCTATCGCGTTCATTGCTTCACATTTGCAGCAAAGCTGTGACTTC